GGGACATTGGGGACACTGGGGGGACACTGGGGGACACTGGGGGACACTGAGGGACATTGGGGACACTGGGGGGACACTGGGGGACATCACGGGTGTCCCTGTCCCTCTGTCCCCCCCCCTTGTCCCGGGTGTCCCCCTGGGAAGGGGGGGGGGTGGCACGGCAGTGACGTCAGCGACCACCGTGACGTCACCGCTGGCCCGCGCCCCTCCCCCAGCCCAGCTGGCCCCGGGGGGGGAGGGGCGGGGGGCCCTGGTGCCATCAGATGTCCCCAAATGTCCCCCCGTGTCCCCAAATGTCCCCAATGTCCCCCAATGTCCCCAATGTCCCCAATGTCCCTCAGTGTCCCCCAGTGTCCCCCCAATGTCCCCCATGTCCCTCTGTCCCTCTGTCCCTCTGTCCCTCTGTCCCTCACCTGTGAGCTCCCCCCCGTAGTAGATCAGCCCCAGGCTGGAGCCCCTCTGGAACTTCCACTCGATCCGGGCGCTGCCGGAGCCGGAGCGGAACGCGGCGCAGCGCAGGGTGACAGCTGCGGGTGGGACCGGCACCGGCTCAGAACCGGCACCGGGGCAGAACCGGCACCGGGACCGGGGCAGAACCGGCACCAGGACCGGGGCAGAACCGGCACCGGGGCAGAACCGGCGCCGGGACCGGGGCAGAACCGGCACCAGGACCGGGGCAGAACCGGCACCAGGACCGGGGCAGAACCGGCACCGGCTCAGAACCGGCACCGGGGCAGAACCGGCACCGGGGCAGAACCGGCACCGGGTCAGAACCGGCACCGGGGCAGAACCGGGACCGGGACCGGGGCAGAACCGGGACCGGGTCAGAACCGGCACCAGGACCGGGGCAGAACCAGCACCGGCTCAGAACCGGTACCGGGGCAGAACCGGCACCGGGACCGGGGCAGAACCAGCACCGGTTCAGAACCGGTACCGGGGCAGAACCGGCACCGGGACCGGGGCAGAACTGGCACCGGCTCAGAACCGGGACCGGGGCAGAACCGGCACCGGGACCGGGTCAGAACCGGTACCGGCTCAGAACCGGTACCGGGTCAGAACCGGTACTGGGGCAGAACCGGCACCGGGACCGGGGCAGAACCGGCACCGGGTCAGAACCGGCACCAGGGCAGAACCGGCGCCGGGGCAGAACCGGCACCACGAGCGGGGCAGAACAGGCACCGGGTCAGAACAGGCACCGGCACCGGGGCAGAACCGGCACCGGGGCAGAGCCAGCACCGGGGCAGAACCGGCACCGGCACTGGGGCAGAACTGGCACCAGGAGTGGGGCAGAACCGGCACCGGGGCAGAACCGGCACCGGGAGTGGGAGCGGGGCAGAATTGGCGCCGGGTCAGAACCGGCACCGGGGCAGAACCAGCACCGGGACCAGCCAGAACCAGCACCGGGCAGAACCGGCACCAGTACCAGGACCGGACAGAACCGGGATCAGCCCAAACCCCGCTCAGCCAGAACCGGGATCAGTTCTGGGACCACCCAAAACCGGGACCACCCCAAAACCGGGACCACCCAAAACCTCCCCGGGTGGAGCCCCCAGCCCGGGCTGGGGATGGCCCCGGGGCCGGTGACACCCAGGGACACCGTGGGGACACCGGGGGGACACCGGGGGGACACCGAGGACACTGCAGGGACACCGGGGGGACACCGGGGGGACACTCACGTTTGTGCTCCGGCACTTCCTGGTCCTCCGAGGTCACCTGGGCTGCGGCCAGCGGGGCTGGAGGGACAGCGGGGCCACCGGGAGGTCACCGGGAGCCCCGGGAGGTCACCGGGAGCCCCGGGCAGGGACACCGGGAGCGGCCACCGGGAGCCGGAAAATCCCGTCCGGCAACTCCCGCCCTGCCCGGCTCTGTCCCAGTTTCTGCCCAGTTTATTCCCAGTTATTCCCCAGTTCTTTCCCAGTTTCTGCCCAGCATTTTCCCAGTTCTTTCCCAGTTTCTGCCCAGTTTTTTCCCAGTTATTCCCCAGCTCTTTCCCAGTTCCTTCCCACTTTCTCCACAGTTCCTGCCCAGTTTCTGCCCAGCACTTTCCCAGCTCTTTCCCAGTTCCTGCCCAGTTTCTTCCCATGCCCTGCCCAGCTCTTTCCCACTTTCTCCACAGTTCCTGCCCAGCATTTTCCCGGTTTCTGCCCAGTTTTTCCCCAGGTTTTTCCCAGTTTCTGCCCAGCACTTTCCCAGTTTCGGTCCAGTCCTTTCCCAGTCTCTGACCAGCAATTTCCCAGTTCCTGCTCAGTTTTTTCCCAGTTATTCCCCAGTTCTTTCCCAGTCTCTGCCCCGCTCTTTCCCAGTTCTTTCCCAGTTTCTCCCAAGTTTCTGCCCAGCATTTTCCCGGTTTCTGCCCAGTTTTTCTCCGTTTTTTTCCCAGTTCCTGCCCCGTTCTTCCCCAGTTTCTCCCCAGTTCCTGCCCAGCTCTCTCCCAGTTTCACAGGAAACCGGCCGAGAATGTCACAACTCCCGGAGCTCTGCGCCTGCGGGGACACGCCCGGGTCCCCCCGGTGTCCCCCCGGTGTCCTCCCGGTGTCCCCCCGGTGTCCCCTCCCGGCTCGGGGCCATCCCCGCTTCGTTCCAAGCGGGAATGTCCCGGGAATGTCCCGGGAATGTCCCGGGAATGTCCCCGGGCCGCCGCCCTCCCGCGCCACCTTTGCACCCCGGGCCGCTGCCAAGTGAAACCGGCCGGGAAAATCGGGATTTTGGGGGGGAAAATCGGGATTTTGGAGGGGAAAATCGGGATTTTGGGGGCCGGGAATGGGAATTTGGGGGAAAAATCGGGATTTGGGGGGGAAAATCGGGATTTTGGGGGGCAAATAACCCGTTTTGGGTCCAAATAAACCAGGATCGGGTTAATTCCGATTTATTTTTGGGTACAAATAAATCGAAACTGGGTTAATCCCGACCCGTTTTGGGTCCAAATAAAGCGGGTTTGGGTTAATCCCGATTTGTTTTGTGTGCAAATAAAGCGGGTTTGGGTTAATCCCGACCCGTTTTGGGTGCAAATAAACCGGGTTTGGTTAATCCCGACTTGTTTTGTGTGCAAATAAAGCGGGATCAGGTTAATCCCGATTAATTTTGGTTCCAAATAAACCGGTTTGGGTGAATCCCGATATATTTTGGGTGCAAATAAAGCGGTTTTCGGTTAATCCCGACTTGTTTTGGGTGCAAATGAAGCGGTTTTTGGTTAATCCCGACCTGTTTTGGTCCGGCCCAGGCGGGCTCGGGTTAATCCCGGGACCGCGGAACACAAAGGACGGGACAGGAAGGCGCCCCCGCCCCCCCCGGGGCCGCTCCCGGTGCCTCCGCTCCGAGCTCCGGGGCTCCGGGGCTCGGGGGGCTCGGGGGGCTCGGGACCGCGACCCCTCCCCCGGTACCGACCCTCCCCCGCCCCCCCCATCCTTTCCCGGTACGCACCGACCCCTACGGGACCCCCCCCGCCGTTAACGACCCCGAGTTTCCCGAGCCCCCTCCCGGTTCCCGGAGCCCCCTCCCCAATTCCGGTTCCGC